CTTGTTCCTTCAGGTAAATGTCACTGTGAAAAGTGCTGTCCCTGTCTCCTGTCCCTTTTGCTGCTTATTCTTAGGACAAACCTGTTGAAATGGGAATATAAATGCTTGACAGGGAGCATAGTTCTGGGTCTTTATAAGCCAGCTTTTGAGCCTTTATTTCTTTTAAAACCAGTCATAGCTTTTATTTATTGCTGTGTAGCTGAGTAACACTGAGAGTGTCTTTCCAGCAGAATAAACAATATGTCACTACATGGGTACTTCTCTTGATAAGGGCATGTATTGGAATCTAAAGTGGCAGGTGGGTGTTTCTTTTGTTAGAACAGGCTTTTGTTATAGCCCTTCTTGCAGTACAACACAGGCACTGAACTGACTTCAGTAGGAGTACCCACATGATAAATTATTGCAGTCATAATTGGTTTAGGCACAATAGGTGAAGCACTGTTCTGAAACTATGTGTGCTGCTTCCATAGTCCAAGATTTTATTGTTTGAAAATGTGCTGGCTGAGAGCCAGCCTTACTAAAGGCCCTTTGTTTTTAAGTGTCTGTAGACTCAGAAGAAACCCTGAGCCTACTGAAATCAGTGTAACCAGAATTACCCATGTGAACATACTCCAGACAGCATCAAGGCAGAAAGGAGCTGGGGATTTATAATAGAGATCTGCCTTTGTACTGGAAACACTTTTTAAAAAAATCTTTAACCCCAGCTGCTTTCTGCTCCCATGGGTGAAACTCAAATCTGCACCAGAAGTGCAAACATTCCAAATCCCAGCTTCCCAGGAAGAATTCCTGTGCTGTGGGCTGAGACTGGTGAATGTAGCAATGAGGGGGCTTTGCCTTTGCCTTTCCTGGGGACACTGTGGTGTTAGAATGTACTTACAGGGGTGGATATCTACATTCCACATCCCAGTCAAGCTGCAGCCTGATCCTACAACAGATTAATTAATGTCACACTGGGGTAGGCCTGGGTTTGGAGCTCTGATTTAAGTAAAATAGCAGGAAAATACTCTGAAATAGCTTTCTAGTTTTGCTAAAATTTAGTGACTAGAGAGGAAGAAAGGGTGGAGTTGTGATAAGAGCAGGCTGAGGGAAGAACAAGGAGCAAATAACTTCTTGTTATGAGCAGCCTCTTGCCTCCCCTCAGCCAGAACATTAAATTGCACCTTAACTCCCTCCCCCCCCAGAAATGCCCAGGTTTCATGTGGACCAAGGATAAGAATTCCAAACTAACTCCAAGGCAGCCTTGTTTACTTCAGTTAGAATAATTTCTGAGAAAGATGCTTTGTCTTAAATGTAATAAGGAAGGAATATTCAAAGTTTTTTCAAAATCATACAAAATCATTTAAAACAATAAAATCATTTACAAGCCAGTAGAAGGCACCCAGCACTAGAGTTTTCTTCTGTAAAGAAACAGCTTAATATAAATTGTGGCCAGAATTCTGATTACTTTTGTGGTTGCATAAACTACTGGCAGTTTGTTTAGATGAAGATTTTTGCAAAGTATATTTTAAATTAATTTGAGAATATATTTTGAATTCTGGAATCCTTGCTTGTAGAAGGATCATTTTTTAAAACTGTTTGTAAAATAGCAAAGTCTTATTCTGAAAAAAAAAAACCAATAAATTGCTTTCTCTTAGTTTGCTTTAAGTGTTTTCCTGGGAAAGAGTTGGCATTGATTTTGGTGGCAAGGGGTAAGGCATAAGTGGTGCAGTTTAAGGAGTGTCTTAGAAACATCTGGTGTTGTTACTTGCTGTTACCCAACATAATCTGAAAGTACTTCTGAGAGAAAGGGCTGGAAAATGTTTGAATAAATTGGAAAAAGGAGAGAGCAGGCCAAGCTCTCAATAAACCAAGCAGGTGAAGTAGCAGCACATTTGGTACTTACCTTGCAACCCTAAATTGGGGCTGTGGGATGGTCAATGTGTGGCACCAGCACTTTGAGCTTCCCTTCTGACAGGGGTGGGAATTCTGCTTTGGGAATTCACCCCTGGGAGCAGCAGCTCAGCTGTGCTGGTGCTGACCAAGCAGTGCCACAAGGAAGCTCACGCTGCTTGGTGCAGTATAACAAGTTTTATTTTACAAATTGAGTGCTCACATTTAAAACTAGAGACAAAACCAATTGCCAAATCATTTTTGGAACACTTGAAAAAGGCATTCAGCTCAGTTTCAGGTTACACCACAGGTTACACCCTGAGCAGCCATCTCCAGGATATTGCACTGTTCCATAAGCCAGAACAACTTCCCCGTGGTGGAACAACAACCATTTCAGCACAAGAGCCTCCAACAGCTTCATATTACACCAGCAAACTGGCCCACATGGAACTGATTTCAAGTACATTAAATATTCCACAAGCTCCAGAGAAAACTCAAATAATTTTCTGCTGCAATTCGAGTTTAAGACACCAGCCAACCCAAGGATTTGCATCCCAATTGCCACTAATTCCAAGACCTGCTTTTCCTATTGTAAGCATTACAGTAGTCACAGTACAGGGCTCCTCTTGTCCATCCCACCAGTCACCCTCCTCAAGCTATGTTTTGGAGGGGGCAGCACCATCACTCTTCCTGCTGGTGGGAGTCTTGGTGGAGTTTGCTGTGATCCAGGGATGGAGCAGCAGATCCTTCAGGGGCAGCCGATGGAAGGGGTTGTGCTTCAGGAGCTTGGAAATTAAATCCCTCGCACCTTCTGTTACAAATGGAGGAAACTTGAATTCCACCTAAGGCAAAAAGGACAGTAACAATCATGCAAAAGTTCTTTAGCAATAACCAAATGATAAAACCAAAGGGTTCTACTCAAGTTACCTCTTGAAAGCTGTGCCAGCCTTGTAGGCTGTGCACCTTCTGCCTGTTGGTAAAATAATTTCATTATAACCCCAAACAAGCTTCTCACTG